GCGCCCCCCCGCCAACCTTTGCGAGTCTCCCGGCCGCTGCTCACAGTTCTGCGCCCTGTGCGACCCGCCGGACTCCCTGAGACACTTCAACATTTTTCAAAATGTAGGGAACAGATGGGGCTTTTTGTAGCCCTCCGTGTGATCAGGAGGGCTCTGGGGGCGGGGGTCCAGGCAGCGTCTGGCGCCCATTTCCTGGGTGGGGAAGCTGAGGCTGAGCCGCCGCGTGTGGAGCTGGCCCTGGTGGGCAGTGACTGCGCGGCGCGGGCAGGACTGGGTCTCGCGTTCCCCGTCCCCTCCCCCACCCCCAGTCGGGCCGACTGGAGTTGCCGCTCCAGCTGTCGCTTCCTCTCCAGCTGTCGCCCCCTGCCCGAGCCTCAGCTTCCCCGGAGCCTCGCCTTACTCCTCCATAGAGTGGGGGAGACGCGGCGTCGCCTGGCGGATTAAATGAGAGGGTGCGTGGAGCGAGCCTGGCGCCGTGCCTGCTCCCCGCCCGCGCTCCGCAAGCGGGAGCTACCCGGACGCTTGTCATTCCCGAGTCCCCAGCAGCGCGTGAGTCCTGGCACAGGTCACGGAGCTGGTCCCTCTGGGGCCAAGCCTGGGGGAGGGGGCGGGGGTCAGGGATGGGACAATTTAGAGTCGGCTCGAAAGGGATCCAGGCCGCCTGCGTTTGAATATGAATTCTTGCACATCTACATTTTAGCTGTATGACCTTGGGCGATTGCCTTAACTTCTCGGAGCCTGTCTTTATCTGCCAAGCGAGAAGAGCTCTGCTAACTCTGGGCTAGTTTGGAGGCAGAAATCTCGGAGGCATCTCTGTGAGTTGCTCAGTGATGTGTCTGGCACACGGTAATCAGCACCAACTTTTGTAGCATCTGCTGTTACTACGGAAGTTGTTTGGCCAAGTGTTTTGACCCTGGAGCAGCCTGTGAGAATGTTCAGCCCGTCTCTGAGTGCAGGCAGCAGCCTCAGGCAGGTCGGCAGGAGACCCTGACTGACCTTGGGGCAGTCCGGGAGCTCTGCGGACTCCAGCTTCCTCTTCTGTGTGGGGAAGCTGGGGGCTTCTGGAGGGAGTTTCTCCTCTGGGGAAGAGGTGGGGGGTGAGACGGCACCAGCTCACTGCAGAGCTGGGCACAGTCCCGTCGGCGCCCCTGCTGTTCTTAGCCCAGGCTCTTGGAGGGCAGGGACCTTGTGTGGTGCGTCCTTGTGTCCCAGTGCCTGCTGGGGCTGGGCACATCCCTCATCCTGATTGTTCAGCAGTGCCCACTTTGCTCTACAGTCCTGTTTACTTATTTACAACCTGAGGCAGGAAATGTTTCTGTGTTTTGAACTGGAGTCCCTGAAGAAGCAGGGCCTGGTTGGGTGGCTTCTGGAGTGAGTGCCTGGCTCAGCCCTGGGGGCAGTGCTGGAAGTCCCTGAGGGTTGGCTCCCCTGTAAGCAGGGCAGCCCCCCTGGCTTCCCTTGAGAAACCCCAGGAGGAGGAAGCTGCAGGTGGGGCTGGCAAGCTGGTGCCCAGCGGAGCTTGGCAGCACTCGTGATGTGCCCAGTTAAGCGTGGAGGCAGGCAACATGTCCCTGCGGAAGGGGCTGTTTGGGACATTGGGCAGGGCTAGGAGGTGAGGTCGGGATGCATTTCCACTTTGCACAGTGAGGACCCTGGGCCGCTAGGGCAGTGTGGTGGGAAGAGGTGGGACTTCCCTGCCTGCTGTGGGCTGTGCAGGTAAAGCTTTATTGCAGGATCCCATGAACATGCAGGGCCACCAAAGTCCCCTCCTCACACGGGAAGACCTAGAGGAGAGATGTGGCCTGGGGGGCAGAGTGAGAGCATAGGAGACCCCTACCCTCACTGGACTTGCTGGGCCTCAGCCCCTGTGTGCACCCTGCTCTCTGAGCCTTGGGAACTGAGCACAGCAGTTCCTGTACCACTGCAGCCTAAGCGGCAGTGAGAGGCCCCAGAGCTCCCCTGGAATTTGTTCCGGTTCTGCCGGGGGGGACATGAGTGTCCTGTGCTCCTGCTGACTTCCTGTGAGGGCTTTTGTGGGCAGGAGGGCTGCAGACTGGAGAGCCTGGGCTTTTCCAGGAGCTCTGGGCAGGGTCCCAGGGTCAGACACAGGTGCAGGAGGGTGTGGCCCAGATGAGGTTGCCTCTGCACGCTGGTGGGAGCCGGCTGGCTTTGGGGCGGCTGGGGAGGGGATGTTCCCTAGTGCCAGAGCTGTTTGGCCCTGGCTGGGACAGATCTGGGCTGGCTGGGCTGGCCCTCTGCATTTCTAGACCCTCCTGTGCTCTTTGGGTCCCTCTTCTGGGTTCATATTCTGCTTCTTAGCGCTTTACTCTTGGGCAGGCCTCTTGAATGCGGTGTGCCTCAGTTTCTTCATCAACAACCCGAGGCGTACAACAAGCAGAGTCAGCCGCAGGATGGTGGGGGTGTGTGAGATGAGTGTGAGTGGTGTGGCGATTGTCCCGAGATGGCCCACGAGCCGTCCTGGGCATCTCCCTTGCCTGAGCTATGACCATTTTTATCCTGCCATGTCCCACGGGCTTTGTGGGGTCAGGGTGAGGGCTCATTGGTTCTGGGGACCACTGTAGGCTCAAGGCATGGAAGGCCAAGAGAGGAGCAGCAGGGGTCTGGGGCTCGGCCATCCTCAGTGATCTGGGCTTTGCCTCCCTGTCCTCCCCAGCGTGTGGAGGCAGCTGCCCTGTGTGGGCCCGGCCCTGCTGGAGGCCGCTGGTACACCTTTCCTGCCCAGTGCTGGAGCCGCAACCTGTCCTTCCTTGCAGACTGAGGAGTGGCCTTGGGGCTTTTGCACCAGGTCCTGAAGTGGCCTGGGCTGAGGGGCCTGGCTCCCAGCTGGGGTGCCCTGTGAGAGCCCTCTAACTGGTCACTGCACCCTGGGCTTGGAACATCAGCTGCCACTTTGAGCACCTACTGTGCGCTGTGACGGGTATCATTGTAGGCAGGGTGGACGGTGCCTTCCTCTTACTCTTGGAGTTCTTGGGGAGGAGACAGCAGCCAGGGAAACACAACCAAGCCCCAAGAGAGTTTTTGGCTGCCCAGAGCCCTAGGAAATAACGGAAATAGGGCAAGGTGGTGGTCAGTGTGGGAAGAAGGGCGCGGAGACAGGGTCTGGGAGGCAGACTAGAGAGGGACCTTAGGAGGAGGGAGGTCCAGGGTTACAGGAAGGAACCGGCCATGAGTGAGACAGTCAGGGAAGAACCCTGGGGATGGGGGCACGGTCAGAGCGGGGCCCACTGGGAGGGCAGGAAGGAGCCTGCACAGGCAGGCAATCTGGGCTCTCTTCTGAGGTCAGGGAGGATCTGAGCGGACAATGTCGTGATCAGATTTTTCTGATCAGTTCTCAGGAAATACTTGCTAAGTGAAAGTAGAAACAAAAAGGGAGAGCCAGGGGCCACAGGCCAGGTGTGACAGGCTTGGTGACCAGGCTGTGTGCTCAGGAGTGACAGGCCCAATACCTGGCACTGCCACCTCCATGCCTGGGGTGAGGGAGCAGACAGGGTTTGAGGTCCCTGTGAGCTGGACTGCTTGTGTCTCAGTTTCCTTGTTAGTCCCAGGATGGCCGGTTTCTCCTTGGAGTTGTGAATGCCTCTTGACACTACCTCCATTTGGCTTTGGCCCCTGGGCTTCCGCCTTCCTTCCTGGTACCATTGTCTGATTTCCCATTTCCTGCCCCCAAGTCACCCCCAGCCTCCAAACACACGCTTCCCTTCCGAATTGGTAGTGACTCGCCTTCCTGTCCGGAAGGCTAGGGGCGTGGAGGCAGGGCAGGTGGAGGCAGGCTCAGCTCAGCGGGCCAGCTGCCCGAGCCAGAGGTGCCTGTCCGGTGTGGAGGCCTGAGAGGACAGGCTGGGCGGGCACCGACCAGGTGGCTATACCCAGGGCTGCAGAGGGAGCCAGAACCCTGGGGAGGGAGCCCCTGCTGGCTTCCTGCCTGGCCAGATGCTTCCTTGCGGAACTGCTGTAACTCGGTGGGAGTTCCTTCAGCTTCACTGACATCTGGGGCCAGGTCATGCGGTGCTGTGGTTGTGAGGACCATCCTGTGCTTGGTTGGAATTTTCAGCAGGATCCCTGGCCACTAGATGCCAGGAGTACCACCTCCTTCTTCCGTGTCCAGGTTTGGGCAGATGTCCCCAGGAGGATTACCAAATAAGGGTAAGGGAGCAGAGCATCTGGGTAGGGGGAGCTTCCAAGGGAAGGCACCTGAGGGGCGTGGAGGCGGCAGTGACCAGGGGTGGAGGTGCAGCCTGTCATTCCTGAGGTCATTGTGAGAACTTGCTGTGTCCTGTGCCCTGACTGAAAGAGGGCCTGGCTGCCGTGGGCCTTTATGGGTAGAGCCTGTTCAAAGGGATGGCAGCAGCTTGGATCCTGGAGGTGAGTAGAGGGGCACAGATTCCAGGGATGTCACCTCCTCCTTCCTAGGTGACATCTCTTGAAGTGGGTGCAGGCAGAAGGGAGGTAGTGCCTGGCTCACGACCTGGTCCCTAGACACTGGGGTGTTGACTTAGCTGCCTTTGACCTTCAGGCAGGTCTGTCCCTGGAGAGCTTCCCCACTTGGGTAAATCATTTCTAATTAAGGCTGTTATTGCTCAAGGACATGGCAGGTTCAGTCCTGCTGGAGGGGAAAATTTCCAATGCTGTCTACCTGTGTTGATGTCACTCTTGAAAAAAAAAAAAAAAAAAAAAAAAAAAAC